AGTTCTCTTTGGGTTTCTTCTAGTCTAATTTTTGTAGCACATAAGTCTTGTCGCAATCTTTGAATCAACAGATTTACTGCTGGATCTTGTAACGAACATTTGAGTGAAGATAATGAATTGTTTTGAATTGAATTTCGCATTGCAGATAATTGTGCCTAAAAAATGAATACCTTAATTGTATTGTTAATTTTAGAAATATAACTGGAATTACAGTGCATAAATATAAACTGATGATATATCATCTAATTATTAAAAATTTAGAATTGTTCTTTTTTATGAGTGTGATCTATATTTAAAAAAAATTATAATTGCATATTACATAAGAATATAAAACATAAAAATTATGAATTTATACAATTTACAATCAGAATAATAATATGTCCAAATACTAACAGCATAATCTTGTATTTCTTGTTCTTTAATAGTCAATTTTCTTAGTAAACATTTTTCACGTAAAACTAATTTGCGAAATTCTTGGTCTGTTCGCTCTTTCTTGTCACACAATAGGTTACACCTAATACATATTGACGCTGAAAAAATTGTATATTTCAAAACAATCATGTCAATTAGATAATAATGAGATTTAATAGGTGCTCAACTGTAGACCGATTGAGACAAACCAAACATGTTTTTTTACTTACGAACATGAACTCCCCAAAAAACACATTTGTAGTGACCTACCTTTAAAAGGTAAAATACCCACAGCCTGGAGGAAAAAGCTTAATTTGCAGTCAATGTCGAATAACAACAAAATCATAAATTTTTATTTTATGTAAATAACCGTAAAATGTATAGTTATAGTTTATCACTTTTCGTATAAAGTATGTAAATAAAATTGTGAAATTGTAATTTTTGTATGCATTTCACATATCGCAATGAGAAAATAGTACCTTCGTTCGCCTTTGCTTCTAAAACGCGAACGCGCGACATCGCGTTTTTATACATATCGACAATACGCTGCCGCGGCAATCGGACCATATTGTCATCATCAACGATGTCCACTTGCCCAAAACCTGTTCGATTTTCTTCGACCATATTTTCGCACAAAATCGCACCAAAATTTAAAACGTCCAATTAAAGTWGTTATGAAAACATTTCAAAAAAAAAAAAGTAGACACTTCCATTAACAAACGGACGATTCTCTCAGTGAATTCATAGTTCATCTATCAAACACAACATACGTGGGGGTTACATATGTGTTCATAATATTGCAACTGAAACTTGAATTTACTGGAAAAGCATTTCATAAGAATAGAAAAGTGTTACTTCGTTACTTGTAAGTTGTAACATGTAAAAGATATTTTAAAATACAAATTAAAAATTGGAAACCTTGTTTTGAATTAAACGAAATCACTAATATTTGGTAATTACAAAACAAGACAAGATTCAAGAAATCTGAACTGAACTCTGAAGTATGAACAATAATAAAAGTATAACAATATTGTCAATATTCACTATTCAGAAGTTGGTACAATTAGGCATTAGCACAGAATAGATATTATRTTGAGGTTAAGTTCTTATCAACAATTAGCTTTTCCATGGACCACGATTGACTAATGATATTGACCACGGTTTAAGATAGTTTAATCATCCATGAAATTTCGGGACAAGTACCCCTATCACTTATCAGCTCTTGAGATAGTCATTTTAATCATTATATTATCACAGATAGATATCATTATTTATTTAACATCATGAA